GCATCTGCTTCTTTTCTTAGCTGGTGTGTGTGAGAGAGATTTCTAAATGCTTTATATGGCTGTAATAGAGTTGATATGTAAAATAATACACAAACTTATACATATATACACATTGAACTAGTTAGCCTCCATTTTATATATATAAGGATGACTGCCACCTCCTTGGAATAATACAGGTTCAGAAGAAAAACACAGAGTTGAGTATGCATTTCTTAGTGTTTCTAGGCTTTGAGAGAACAACTAGATTCACTAATTTGTAGAACACAAATCATTTTGCATATATAAATGTTGATGAAGCTTTAATGACATGTAATAAATGGATCTTTCATAAGATACTGAATAACTGAAAAATGCTATCTTCTTATATGACAAAACTAAATGTTGTATGCCAGAGAGGTGAACATTTTACTAGACAAATCTTGATTACTGTGTCAGGAGATGAATTTGAGATTGTTTTTAACCTGGAGGTCTTTTGTTCAAATGTGAACTTCAAAAACTCATTTGAATTTCATAGGAGACTCTCATTAAAAATGAATTTTAATATTAGCCATTAGTCTTTGCTTTAACATTTTAAGTAGTCCTAAGTTACCATAATAAATGCTGGAAAAGCCTATATGAAAATAATTATTTCCAAAATTAGAAGAGAGAAACTACAAGATAAACTAGGAAGATATGGAATGGAATGTTTAGAAGCAATATGATCATGGTTAAATAAATAACCATTTGGACATCCATTCAAAATGTACAGGATTTTGCACATATATATGATTTGTATTTTCACAAAACACTCGGATGTGTTAAATTAGTGTATGCAGTGGATGTTGCTTTATTCAACAAACATTTATTGAGGACATCCTCTGCATCTGGAATGAGGGGTACAAAGAAAGTAAGAAAGAGTGGTGTCTTCACCCCATGAACTCATTGTTTAGAAGGGAAGAAAAATGTACATATATAATTCTACAATATCATCAGTGATAATCAATGTGGTCTAAGAGTATGGAAGAGGAAGTACCTATCTTAACATGGGTGGGACGATCTATAAAGATCATCTCTGTGTGGCTAGTGTAGATTCACTCATTTATTTATTCACTAAATTTTCCCACATCTCTAATGTTTACTAGACTGGTACTGGAGTAAATTCAAGGCAGTAATTTTAAACAAATCAGTCAAGTCCCCATCAAGGTGAATATTCATGGTATAATTACAGAAATTAATGCATTATTATGATAATGGTACATACTATGAATGAAAAGAACAGGATGTTACTTTTCTAAATTACAAAAAGAGATAATTTAGACTTGGAGATTATGGAAGGCCTTCAAGGAATAGAGTTTACTAGGCGAAAAGCAGGCCAAAGTACATTTCAAGAAAACATTATTTACTTTCTCATTTTATCAATAATTAAAAGAGAGTTGAGATGTGACAAAATTTTATTTTCATAGTAGATTAAAGTTAGTAATAGAATTAAACTTTGTTTTGATTATGAGTTTTTTTTATCATTTGATGAAACCTGGAGACACTTATTTCTAGTGGTATTTCAGTAGGAAACACTCTCAGTCATGAAAAACATTAAGAAATTAATGTAATTTACTATTGTTAAAACAATACTAATGGTCAAATACATGATTGTTAGTATGGTCGACACTAATTCTTATAGAGAAGTAGGGATAATCAGTTTTCATACCCCTCCTTCCTCTTAATGAACACCAAATTCAAGTAGGGACTACTGGTAGTACCATTTATACTGTTTTTTTCTTAATTCCCAGAAGAAAGATATTCATGATTCAAAAAGTAGATTGAACAGTAAGCAGAACCAACAGATATCAGTAGGAAATACGAAGGACATAGTCAAATCAATGCAGCTGATGCTTATTAATATATATTTTTTCATTCAGAAGGATATCTTGTCTTCACAGTTCTCCTTTCAATATAGAGGGTCCATTCTTTAGAAAAGTCAATTTAGTGGTGTTACATAAAAATAGTTTAGAAAGTAATGTAAGTTCTAACTCCCCTCCAAACAACTACCACTTATTATCAAAGTAACAAGGTAGAATACTTCCTAGGATTTTGCCCTTGCTCTTTAACTAAATGCATTGCTAATGGAGCACCTGACTTTGCCTGGGGCAAGGGAAGGTCAGGGAAGTCTTTCAGGATATTCCATTGGCTGAGATGCATTGTGCCTTAAGATGAAACAAGACGAAGGATATGGTGGTGGAGAGAGCTGTCCAAGTAGAGGAAACAGAATGTGTGAAGCCCCAATGGGATGGAAATAAGCCTTTTTTGTTACAAAAAATTCTGAGAGGCCAGAAGTCTCCTGTGTAAAAAGAAGGAAAATTGGGCCCAGAGAAGCTTGAAACACCATTGGGTTTTGCAGCATATGAACGATTTTGACTTTTATGCTAAAAGCAACAGGAAGCCACCAAAGCAATCAAGAGGGGAAGTTAATGATTGGAAATTTAGTCTATTGCCCTGGCATTTCATGCTTTCCATTGGTGTAGCTATTTTATTAAAAATAAAAATTACACTTGAATATCCAAGTATCAGGACTAAAACATAGCCATTTTACCACTTACACTCTCTTTGTAACTGATATAGATCAGTGAAATATCAAATTGATTCAATAAAGTCCAAAACTGTTCCAGCATTACCAAAACAGCCACTTGTTCCATAATGCATTTATTTTGCTATTGATTTTTGACTTAGATTTATGGATAAATAGCTTCTCCAATACTTTGCTGCCTCAAGCTAGAAATAATGTTTATTTGAACTAAGCTATAAACATTTCAAGACTCTTAAGATAGGAATATTATTTTATAGATCCACAAAATAGTTCATTTATATGCTTGTTAATAGTTGTTTTAAATTTATGTATGACTATAAACTCTGCGTGATTATCTTTGAATGTAGACGTGTAAATATGAAATCTCAGATGTTGATTTTAGCTGTTTAATGTTTCATTGAAAGGACAAAAAACATAGCTGTGTAGGGATAAAATTGTGACATGCATTCAACATGTTTTTGTTTTTAAATTTCTTTAAATCTTGTGGCCTTATTTTCACTACTTTGTTAAGTTATTGACTTTGAAAGTTAACATCTATTAGGTACTAAAATGTACTGTTGTTTTTTCCTGAGGAAAATATTCTCTGGGTTTGGTAATTATATTTTATCAAATATGACTCATTGTGGAATATCAAAAAAACAGAGAAGTTAATTATTTCATTTTTTTGTCTGAGTCAGGTCTTTATGTTAGTAATTTTACATTTGTATTACTAATATTTATTAAATGATTTTTTTCTTTATCTGTGTTAGGTTATTACCATTGGAAAACATGTTAAAGGATACCATTACATCATTGCAAATCTGGTAGGTGAATTAATTAATAATTTTAATGAAGAATCCTATTAATTAAAAAACTTTAGAACAACCAGCATTTATCAGTGGTATTCATAAAAATATATTTTGTTTATATTGATTGATTAGGTGATAATATATTTCTGAATTTCTGTTTAGATTTACTTCCCACTTTACATTTTTAGTCAATTTCTCCTTATTATAAATGATATAATAAATTATAGAACAGTATTTGACAAGCTTTATAAATTGTCTTAGAAGATGTATTTTTAACCACAGGAAAATTTTCAAAAATATATAAAATTTAACTCTCCCAATTTCCCCTTGTATCTCACTGTCACTGTCTTTTATAAACTTTACCCTTTGCCCATTCCTTTAAAGTGTTTAGCACATGTAATATTCAAAGTAAATGCAAATTTGTGAGAATGTCTCAGTAAAAATTAAACCAGGAAATACCCCAATATAGGAAGATTAAATATTATTTATTTACTATTTGCTGTATAAGCAACATGATGAAAGTTGGGTTCCCATAGCTAACCACATTTTCATGGTGATTCCTATCAAAGAATGTATCGAATGCCCAAGTGGTTAATTGTATCTCCCTTTCAAGTACACAGAACCAATTTTGAATTATTAGAGATTTTTTTAAAATACCTTTTATATCAGCAATAAAATAAGCTTAAAGCTTTACTTTTACAAAGATTTGTATTCTTTTAATAAGTATAATTTTATGTGATTGGGCACATCATCCAAATCTCAGGAAAAAAGGCAAGAGAATTTGGACAGAGGGAGAGAATGAGAGATTATTCTAAATAGCATAATAGGACTCTGAACAAGTTTCATATTTATACCAATGCAGATTTATTTCATAGTGTCTAGAATATTAGATTGTTACATGAGAAAACATTTATAGTAGTGATAGAAGGAGATAAGAGAAAATAAATTACAACCGTATAACTGATAAATATTTTTACTAGAAGGTGACACCAGTGATTTAGAATATTAAACCTCAAACCTATATGCTATTGAGAGAAATTGGTTGTTCAAGATAAATTTCTGTTTGGCAATGAAATGGCTAACTACTATAAAAATTCATTAGAACTTACCCTTATAATATGATGTTGTAGGTCCTAAATCACTCCCTACTGGAGAAGCAAGAGTTAAAAAAGATTAGCTCTGTATCCAGTCTCTTCAGAACCAAATTTCTGAGCAGAAAACGGCCTGGACAGTCAGTCCCCTGTGTGAATGGTGCCATTTGATGAACAACACACAGCCACATTGGAAGCTGCGATCTTTAAAAATGTCCAGATGGAGATGATTTTATTGGAACATTGAGAAATAATGACAGGAGGTGGCTCATCAATTTGAGAGTTGATAACTGACACTATGAAACATGAAACAAGTGTTTGAGTGACCAAAATAAAAATGTTTTAAAAAGAAAGAAAAAGGAAGTTCATGTTGCTATGATGCTTCTAGGGAGAAACCTCCCCAATCTTTTCTCTGAATTAGAGTTTTGCTTTTTTTCTCTGAATACTTGGTATCCTTGCCATATGCAATTTCTGATGAATCAGTAAATTCAAAGAATCTTAGTGAGTTTCAGTTTCTGAGAAATTATAGAACACTTGAAAATTTCACTGACATTTAAAATTGAAGAATGCTTTCCAAATTTGAAGGGCTTTTCATCTTCCGAACTATTGATTGAGGATGCCCCCTTTTTCTGTCCAGGGTCTGATGAGTGTTACGGTTGGCAGTCATGCAAGAGAAAAATCGTTACATTTTTGGTTAATTTCGTCAGGAATTGCTGAATGCTTGCTTAGGCTGTAAGTTCCTAATATAGCATTTAAAAGGATAACTTGTATATAAAGTGATGAAGATGCGGTTCATAATGGAATCCTTTTCTCATTTCTTCAACTCCTCAAATATTGACAATAAGCATTGCTGTCTACCCCCAACCCCATTTACCTTTCAATAAAGCACACTCAGTGAGCCTCCCTCATGCGCACAGGAATTTCAAGTGTCTTACTATTAAATAACCAAGCATAAGCAGATATTTGAGAAAAAGTATTTGCCATGAAGAATGCAATACACATAAACAGAAACAGGGAAAACCGGAACCACACAAAAAATGTTTAAATATGTAATGAGTAATATTTCTGCAGAGAAATAAGAGAAAATATATAATCTATAAAAAGAAAAGAATGCTATGGGAAAGAAAAAAAATTAGAGAATAAGAAAGAGCTCTGGGAAGTTCACTTATTTTCTAATGTAGTAAGTAAAATTGAATGACTAAGGATGAAGTTGAGAAAATCTTTCAGATTAGGTAACAAAATAACAATATAATATAAAACAGTGTTACTGAGTATAAGCATTTAGATGGACGTAATTGTGAAAATAGGGGAAGGAAATTATCAAAGAAACATTCAGAAAAATTTCCTATAATAAATGACAAAAATCAGACCATTGAGTACATACAATATATTTTTTTTCTTTATTAAGGTATTACATATGTGTCCTTATCTCCCCATTGCCCCCCCTGGTGTCTGTGTCCATTGGTTAGGCTTATATGCATACAAGTCCTTTGGTTGATCTCTACCGCCTCCCTTCTTCCTCCCCTGCCTTCCCTCTGAGTTTGACAGTCTGTTCGATGCTTCTCTGTCTCTGGATCTATTTTTGTTCATCAGTTTATGTTGTTCATTATATTCCACAAATGAGACACACAATATTTTTTTTTAAATCATCATGCAGTCACAGAGATAGATAGAATATTTTAACGATTTCAGGTTGGTGGGAAGAGGGCAGGTGTATGAAGCAGGTCACATCCAAAAAATAATAAGAAATAATAAAATTGCATTGTTTAGTAGAAACCATGAAAGTCAATGGAACAATGCCTTTAGATAATGAGATTTTTGAATTAAAATTCTATGCCCAGCCAAAATACTAATCAAATGTTAGAGCAAAATAAAGGTATTTTCAGACACTCGACATCTGAAAAGTTTACCTCCAGTGTGCCTGAGGAAATTATTGACTCCAGTAGAAGAGAGGAGTAAAAGATGACAGAAAAGTGATCCAGGAAACAGGAGAACTATTAAGAAAAACAGTGTAGGGCCACTAGGGTCACAGCTGCAGAGTAGAGGAAAAGAGCAACCAGCTCAGATCATAGGAATAATTTGCTCATAGTGTGAGAGCTCTTGGAGCAGTAACTCAGTACTAAGTACCTGTAACCCCCTGAGGTGCCCTGTGGTAGATTTAATAAATAAAACCTAGTCCTTCTCCATGAAATGGAGAACTCTTATGTATGCACAGCCAATACACAAGCATGGATTAAGGACCCACTATGATGCCAAGGCTATACTAGATGCTGGTGAAGAATTTTGGCTGGAAAATACATGGAACATTTACTATAGGCTTTTCATCTCTCTAACATTCTTTGACATTTGTAAAATCCACAAGGCATAGAGTTATTTGATAAATGTCAAGTTCTATTGGACATAAATGTATTCTCTGTCTAGGGATTTACGGATGGAGACCTATTAAAAATTCAGTTTGGGGGCGCAAACGTCTCTGGATTTCAGATAGTGGACTATGACGATTCCCTGGTATCTAAGTTTATAGAAAGATGGTCAACACTGGAAGAAAAAGAATACCCTGGAGCGCACACGACTACAATTAAGGTATGTGTCCACCTGCCAATATCTACATCTATAGCTACATCACCATTGATATGTACCTGCTGGCTAGTAGCCTGCTCTCTGGGACACTTTAGGAAGAAGATAAAAATCTCAATTGATTTTAGTAATTAAAAAAAGAAATGTTTTGCTTTCTGCACTCAGCCATAGAATCTCTGAATGCTGAGTGCAATGCACTGCTCTGATACTATGCAGACTGCTCTTTTATTTTTCATGGGTTTGGACACGTTGAGGTCTTCACCTGTTTACTCAGTGTATTTTATTGGGTATACACATACATGCACAGATTTAACTCCAAATATCAAATATCTCTGCTATTTATAGGAAGGTATTTTTCCGCTGGTGGTCACTTTATTGCGAGCAGAGATACGAGTAAAGCCTGGAAGAGAGTGGGACAAGGAGTGAGTGGCAGATGATGATGTTCATTCTTTATGAAACTAGACTTACCAAAATCAAGAGCAAACGTTGCAAAACATTTTTAGATGCACAGATTTGGTCTGTTTCTTTGTGTATCATAAATAGCTTGTGTATGAATCAGTCAGAGATAGTGTTATTTCAGTTGCTCTCACAGTTAGGTCTCTACGTCACAGAGACATTTTGTGTTGTTTTTCTGACATCTTGGAAAAAACCAATATTGGTGTTTGTCTTTCAGTTAGTGTCTGGCCATGAGACTAGTTCTGGATAAGGATTCGAAGCTTCGAAGTTCTCAACTTTTGGATGTGTAAATGGATCCTATTAACTTCAAGTCAAATTCCGAAAAGCATCCCATAGGATGTGAAAGAATAACCCAGAATTCATTTTCTCTCAAAACTAGGTGACTTGTTGTTTGGTGACTTTGAGTTTCAGCATGCATACTGCGTATAGCTGCAGTGTGGGCTTGTGGGACTACTGTCACCTAACAGGCTTCTGCAAAGGCCAGTGGACACCGAGTTTTCCAGTCGGTGTCACTGTGTGTCCCCTCGCTCAGTGGGGGTCTGACTGCTGACCCAGTTGTGTGGAACTGCAGGCTTCCATCCATTCAGAGATGGTACCATTTAAGTTATCAGATGAAGAGTGCAAGTGGCATTCATCCTCACATGGAACTAAAGTGCCCTCTCTGAATACTCTATTCATCATTGTGTTGCCTCCCACTGCTGCCTGCTGGGGGAAAGATGAAAGCAAAATGAGATGATTTTTTTTTCTCGTGCAAGTCATATCATTATTACAGTTCCCATGTCATGCATGCAAATGCAAAGTGATTCGGGGGTAAGGAGAGATCTTGGCAGTGCATTCTTTTAACATTTTTGCCAAAACTCAGCACCAGATTTCCCTCTGTTGAGAGCCTGCCTGGTGACCTTTCTTTGCTCCCTCCCTGCTGTAGCATTTCACTCCCTTACCCATCCCTCTTGGGTGCTCCTGCCAAATGTGAGAGAGATCCTGCTGGCCCCTCATGGTGGAGAGCGGCACAGAGCATACGCTTTAAACAGTGTGGCCCTGATTCAGTGTTGGATGTGCAGTTCCTGTCTCCACGATTCAGCAGTAGCTATTAATTCCCAGGCTGCCCTGAAGACTCAACAACATTTACAATGACTTAGCACAGCTTTAGAAACAGAGGTGCCACTAGAAGGCAGAGTTTGTATGGCTTTGGAAGCTTGATCAAAATTACAGAAAGTCCCTGGGAGAATATGGCTTTAAGGAGGAGTTCATCCTAACAAAGACATGTATGTTCATGTACTAGCAGACCAGAAACTCAATATATATTCCACTGTTGAATGGAAGAGACAAACATGGCAATAAGCAAATATAGAGATAGCTACATGTAAAATATGCCAGTGCTGCTTCTGGTTATGCCAGAATGGGAGGAGTGATGGTAAGGAAGGCTTTCTGAGAGAGGTGTGGCGGGGGGGGGGGGGGGGAAAAAGTGGGGGGGGGGGGGGGGGGGGGGGGGGCACCTGGGCAGGGCTCTGCACATGGCTGAGCAAGAGGGAAAGCAGGGGAGGCACTTAGGAAAGTGCAACATATATGGAGACTCAAAGCGATGCAATTGCTCAAGACAGATTCAGGGAGATTCACAACATGTAAGCCCTGCAAACTATTCCCTCAACCATCTTTTCTTTTCAGTTGTTATTTTTCCATAGTAACCCACATTCAATCTGTCAGCAAATCCTATCAGCTCTGGCTCCCTTCTTACCACCTCTTCTGTGCCCTCTAAATCCAACCACCATCCTCTCTGCCAGGATCATTGGAATGATCGCCTATATTGGTTCCCCTTCCTCTACACCTGCCCTCTTTATCCCATGTCTGTGGTCCTTTTAAAACCACAATTAGAATATGTCACACTGTCAAAGTCATCCCATTGGCTGATAAAGCCCTAAGTCCTCTGTCTCCTGGTCACATGACCTTCTCTATCGGCACTCCCCCACCCACTGCTCACTCTGCCTCAGCCACATGGGCCTTTTTGTTCTTTCTTAAGCACTTTAAGGTGTTTGTGCTATTTCCTCTTCTGTACCATTCTCCTCTTAAATATCTCCATGGCTAAGCCTCCTGCACTCTTTAGATCTTTGTTCAAATGCCATCTGCTCAAGGAAGACAATAGCAGGATCTCTATTTAAAATTGCAATTTCTAGAAGTGGGATCATAGGGTCAAATGGGAGTTCCATTTGTAGCTTGTTGAGGAAACTCCATACTGTCTTCCATAGTGGCTGCACCAGTCTGCATTCCCACCAGCAGTGCACAAGTGTTCCTTTTTCTCCACATCCTCTCCAGCACTTGTCGTTTGTTGATTTGTTGATGATAGCCAGTCTGACAGGTGTGAGATGGTACCTCATTGTTGTTTTGATTTGCATCTCTCGGATGATTAGTGACTTTGAGCATGTTTTCATATGTCTCTTGGCTTTCTGAATGTCCTCTTTTGAAAGGTGTCTATTTAGGTCCTTTGCCTGGAGGTTGAACAGAGGTGTTTTGAGAGAATTCTCAGAACCAGTACTATAGAAACATGCAGGATCCAGATCTGTGTGCCTACGGGATTTTGTGTGCTATTCTGAGAGCAACAGGGAACTACTAGAGGTGACTGATGACCATGGTTTCGGTAAAGGAAGATTATTGTGACTGCCTTGGTGACAAGAGATTGTAGGGGGTGCACGTGGTGGCAGGGGAGCTTTAAGTAAGATGCTGCAAACAATCTAGGCAACAGATGATAGTTGTATGAATTGGGGTTGTGGCATAAAGTGGCAGGAAGTATTTATTGTATTAGCCAATTCTTTCAATTTCTTTATTTGTAAAATAAATAATTATCGCAAAAGCATAATCATTCATTTATAACATATTGATATAAATTTGGTTGAGAGATATTTGTTGATTAAAACAGGAACCTGAAAGGAAGTCTGTATCACTTGTAATCTTATTGGGCCCGAATCTCATACAGTGGTTTTCACAGAATAGGCACAGAATGAGTATTTGTTGCAATGAAGAGTAATGAAATGAAAAAAATATAAATGCTTTGAAAATGTCAAATCACTGAGAAAGAAAAAATAGGTAATTATCATCGCTATAAAATTTGGTTTAAATTTCTGCCCTAGCATTTATGTGTTTTTTTATTCAGGCATGGCAGAAAAGTAACATTGTTTTACTTGATGAAATGTAAAATGACTCCAGTTATCAGACCTACACCGTCATGGCACGTGGAAGTAAATAGCACAATTAAAATTGGCATTTTTACCTCCCTTACCTTTTTTTCTCCAAAACAAGGAAGATTTTAAAGATGATTTGCTACTCTATCAAAAATAATTTACAACTATTTTTATTTTTAGATAGATTTTTTTGGTGTCTTTGACAACTTGCAAGATATAACTATACATTCTACCTTGTCATAGCAACAATCTATACCTTATTTAGACTGTGTTTTCCATGTCTTGCTGATGTTGATTTAACAATAATATGTGACTAATATTTGAGTGGCATTTAAAGAGTGCCTTTCCCACAGGAATCCCATTTTACTCAAGAAATGACTTTACAGCAAAGACTCCAACTTTCTTAATTGCTGTCCTAAGAGAGTTATTAAGCCTGTCTGAAAATAGTATAATCTTTTCAGTCCAGTAATTAGCGCCATGCATTAAATAGCACCCTGGTGGCCTAATAGAATTCATTCTGCTTCGTGAATGTTTTAACTGACCAAAACCACAGCTGACATTGGAATCCCCTACTTTTGATATTAAAGCATTTTGCCATGAGAACCTACAGGCTGTACATGTTTAGATCCTTATGGTTTAAAAAATGTGTATATGAGCAAAATAAACCCATAAATTAATAATTTGATATTGATAAAACTACATATCTTGTAAAGAGATATTTTTAACTTTAAGAGCATTCTTTAATTAAAGTTTACTATGAGTATTATTTTATATTGGTTTCTTGTGTACAGCATAGTGGTTAGATGATCATATACTTTACAAATGGTTCCCCCTGATATTTCTAGTATTCACCTGGCACTATAGTTAGCACAATATTATTGACTGTATTTCCTATGCTGTATTTCACATCCCCATAACTATTTTGTAGCTACCAATTTTTACATCTTAATCCCTTAACCTCTTTCATCCAGTGCTCCAAACCCCCTCCTCTATAGCAACCACCAGTCTGCTCAATTTTTAAAAATGGTTACATTATACTAGATAGTACTATATAATAAAAGGCTAATATGCAAATCTACCGAATGGCAGAATGACCAGTCGCTATGACGCACACTGACCACCAGGAGGCAGATGCTCAACACAGGAGCTGCCCCCTGGTAGTCAGTGCGGTCCCACAGGGGGAGCGCCTCTTAGCCAGAAGCCAGACTCACGACTGGTGAGCTCAGTGCCGGTGGCAGGAGCCTCTCCCTCCTCCTCTACAGCACTAAGGATGCCCGACTGACGGCTTAGGCCAGCTCCCCATAGGTCGGACATCCCCTGAAGGCTGAGGGATCCCCCCAAATGTACAAATTCGTGCACTGGGCCTCTAGTATGTAT